AATCGCTATGGTTAGAGTGATCGAATTTTTCGAGCCGAGAAGAAAACTGATAATTTATCGCGCGGTATCGTATAAGAAAATTTCAAAAATATTTGATTAATTTACTAGTTGACCGTGATTACTTGTCTTTCCTGTTTTATACCGTTTCTCGGTTGTGTCAAATATCCGTTTAATCGCGTCGATCATTTTCTCGTCATTTACACGTCTGACGACGAGTGGAGAACGATAACCTGATTAACGAATACATGTACCGAGAGTATACTTTTGCCCGGTATTATTCGAACGAAAGGTATTCAGGCAATCAAACGTTTGAGTAAAAGGATCTATCGTAATTTCTAAGACGTTCTGTATCTCTCGGTATTTAGCCATCGTTCTGCATCCTTCCGTTATTTTTAGAGATATCGAGGTACCTTGTCGACGAAAATTGTACGGTATGGAGGGGGCGGTAATATGGCAGTGATGATCTTTTTTGTAGATGGGTGGTCTTGGGAGACTTCAAGGTCACCGCCGTTCTTTCGAATCGCTTCCCGTCCGATGGAACAGCGGATGTTTGCACGATTTCAACGACCCCTTGTACAAGGTCGTTCGACGATAAACGAACGACCGATCGTTCGCATCGATGCAACTTTGAAATCACTGGATCGTCGAATCCTGTCCACTTGTTATTATTCGCGGATCGACCGTGGCGCATGCTGCGACGAGTCTCTGTTTCGTATCTGACGACGCTACTGGCTGTTCACGATACTTCGCTGGCACGCGATACTTTTTGACGTTGCCAACGGAATGCGTATGTATCTGAATCTTCCACGGAAAGAGACGAAGCAGCGTTATATCAGGCGGATAAGCTAGTCACGAAACTATTACGTTGTTTTAACACTGTAACGTGTTACGTTGATTACAAATACGTACGTATAAGTGGGTACAACGAGGGCTACGAAGATACGGCAAGATACGTCGTCGCAGTATGCGTGACGAAACAAATAATCCACAGCGAGTACGCCGACTTGAACTATCCGACAATTTCAAAGAGAACACTGCTTGCCACGTTTATTATCGAGTAAGATTCCTCGCTTACGCTTACTTATCGTCGAACGACAATGCGTGTATCAGAGACCGTTGACATCGTCCAAATATTCTCTATTCTACCAGCTATGAAAAAGTAAAGAAAGCGATTTAGAAAAACGAAGGTTAATTTGAAATCTCCGGAGACCGTGGCGAGGTACGAAAGAATTATCGCTGCCATGTTACAGCCCCCTTCGCGCAGTACCACTTTTGCAAGCAAAGTTTTCCCATTTCCCTAAAAATAACGGAAATATTCAAAGCGATCAAAGTTATTTCCGCACCCTGTATATTTTGAAGAATAATATCGTTAAACTACGACAACAATAATTAAGGGAAAACAAAAATAATTAAGGGAATACGATTCTGTAGGTTACAAATAAGATATCGAGCAAACTAAAGATAAGATAAAATTCAATTTCGAGTTAAAATCTAATTTTATAACGTTCCTCGTAATAGCGTTTTCTATTGCTCGGAAGTAGGTTTACTGGCATATGCGGTAAAAGTGCTAAAGATCAATCTTATTGCAAAAGGCACGATGTACGGTAATTGTCGTGTTCTTGGAACCGAATCGCAAATACTTGAACTTCCATTACGGAATATGAGATTTCAAACATACGAAAAGCGTATTGGAAATTTTTATTAGAAATACGAAGGTTTTGTAAAAAATAATCGAATTTAATTAATTTATTTACTTTCGACAATTTGTCGGCTGCGTCAAACTACTCGTAAAAGTTAGCCAACGGATAAACGTATGTATGGAGAAATATCGAAATTGCGAGTAGAATTATTTACGTAAATAGATAAATAATTGTTAAAATTCCTCTTCTGGATCATTCAGGATTATCGTTTACTTAACGATTTTGCAAAAATGCGTACACAAATCTAAATATACGAAACGATTGTCCTCGCATAGGTCTGTTTTCGATATCGTTTGTTTTTTAATCCGTTGTAATCAAATTCTCGAAATTAGCTAATTAGCGTTATTAGGCAGACTCGATACAACGGTTTCGAAACTAACATTCTTCTTACAACGTATTTATGTACATTATACGTAGAATATTATCGTATTTACCATATAGAATAAAATTATTACGAAACGCGAGGAAAATTAGTCTTTTTACCATAGTTTAAGTTTCGTCGATTTTTGCTTTACGAAAAATTTCATGTAAATTTAATACCTAGAAATGCCTAATATTATCAACGAGTTTACAACGATACATTAAATACCACTAATGAAATCGTTACATTTTAACTGGTAACGCGAGCGCTCCTCTCGCGGCTTCCTGCGGATCGAACGCCGTCAACTATTTATGAAATGGTTCGATCTATTTCCGCCTCTCGCGATATCTATCGCGTCTGTTTTGGAAGTCCGTTTAATTCGATGGAATTAACGCAGATGCAAGAGATATTTCTAAAACATCCCTAGGATACCACCTCGTCGTAAATATTTTTAATCAACTTCGAAAATTACAAATACGAATTATTCCGTCGATAAAATTAGCGATTAACGTCTTACGATTAAATGATAAAGTTGGCTTAACATTACGTAGTTTTTATTCTTCGTCCGCGTTACATTCGCGTATATATTACGTACATCTAATTTGATTACCGGACGTATGCAGAGTATTTGTGTTTCTTTTGTCCCTCCAAACTTATTTCTTAAGGCATAATATACAGATATACGTGCAAGTTGCCGGATTTACTTCGGAATACCGTAATACCGTAATACCGCGATACCGTCGTGGCGTAATGTGCAGTGGAATGTCCTATACAAGAAGATGCCAAATGTTTATTTTACTTCACACATAGGAACACGCCTCGAATAGAATACCAACTTGTCTGAATTCCTATTCAGCTGCAACGTGACTGGGTCGAGCGATGTAACAGTCAAGTGAATGAATAACAATTTCCGTTTGATATAATAATTTGATGCAATCGTACGGAGAAACGCAAAGATAAAACCGTCGGTGCTTCGCAATCAGCCTTCGGGAGGGACGGGGCACAGGTAATCGTCACTCGAGTGGCACTCGTATTTGCGACACAGCTTTGTTTCGCGACGGCACTCTTTTCGCACGATTACGATTCCTGCGAGATGTCGGTCGAAAGACGAAACGAATAACGAGAAAGGACACCGGCGCGGCATCTATCTACCTTTATTATCTATATATTTGTAACGAAGGTTGGCGCATCCGATCCGCGCGAACAAGCACGGAAAATCTATACTGCAGATTCTAGATACAAAGGTGAGATAATTATAAAATACCGACGCGTTGGTTCGCCGAAGCCTGTAACAACGGGCGGAGAAACTTAGGTGGCGCACACGGTGCGTATCGGTGAAATATCGAATAAATCGGGATGAACGGTCGTGTCCAGCGAATCGTCAGGCTCAAAGGGTCTGGAAATAGCGAGCCTAGCGAAGGAATCTTATCGGTCGTTGGACGTAATCGGCATACACGAGGTACGCGATCGAGGCACGATCGGGCACGATACGTGCGATTACCCCGCGATAGAGAGAGCAGAGAGATAGCGCCCCGGTTAGCCGACCGGTCCTCTTCGTCGTCTTGAGTCCTTGGAGCGTGAACGGAAATAGCCATCGGTGTGCACCGGAAGCTCGCAGCAAAGCCTCCTCCCTCCCGCCCCCGTTCTAGAAAAGGGATCCCTGTAGCAGGTTCTGCGGTAGCGCGGGCAAGGGTCGCCAGCGCCGTGGAAAGAGAGGAAAAAAAAGAAGCGCGATAGGAGGGTGGAAGAGGAGCAGGAGAGAGCGCGGAAAAGAGGATAGGGGGATGGAAAGACGGAGTAGTAGGGTCGGATGGAGCGGAGTGGTAGATGGGAATGGGGCAAAGGGGTGGAAGAGGATGGCGGATAAAAGGGTAGGAAGAGAAACCGATCGTCGGTAGGGGGTTGGGTTGGGTTGGGTTGGGTTTGGTTTGGTTTGGTGGTGGTAGTGGCGGTGAGGAGAATAGCGTGGCCGGACTGTAGGAGAGGGGTGGTATTATATTTGCGCAGGGCCGCCCGATAGGGCGCAGTATCGTCGCGACCGCCGTCGCGTGCACGTCGATTTTCTGTGCGTTTACGTGTCTTTTAGACCGCGAGTGCATCTGCACCGAGAACATCATTTTCCCTCCTCGTCGGCCGTACTACCGTGGCCGGCCTTCCTGTATCCCATCTCTTTTCTCTTTCTCTCACTTTCGCTTCCTCTTTTTCTATTTCCTCGTCTATTCATCTTTCTCGCGTTTTCTCTCTCTCTCTCTCCTACTTACTAACTACTCTGTCTCTCTGTCTGTTTGTCTGTCTCTCTCTCTCTCTCTCTGTCTCTCTGTCTCTCTTTCTCTCTCTGTCTCTCTCTCTCTCTGTCTCCTTCTCTTTCTTTCTTCTCCTGTTTCTCTCTTTCTCTGGCTCACCGTGCTTCCGTTCCATGCGTGCCCGTTCCTTTTCGACGTTTCGCGCGTGATCGTCCACTACTCCACTGTAATTTGCGTTCCCCGAGCCGCGTTTATTCCGACCAAACTATAAACAACAACAGAGATCGCGAGTCGAGCGGACGCTCGAGCAGGAGTCCGCGAAGTGTTCTGGCCCAAGAGTGAGTAGAGAAGTGTCGTTTACGTGACCATTGGTGTGTTTGTTTCTGTTTGCACACTGCCTCCGAAAATAAAGGATCTTGTTCGTTTCTACCCTCCCGATTCTCGCCCTATTGCACGGCCCCCACGCTCGAAGTAACTTTTCGACGTTCACGCAACGCGACCCGATCTCTCTGTTCGCGTTAATTCGGTGGATACACGCCGAAAGGCTGGCTGGCTGGCTGGCTGGCT